CATGGCACTGGCATCCGACTTCACTGGCAACGCTGACAAAGCGGGTAAACTTATCATTGTAAGTTCAGCAATGGCATGGCGGAAACTATAACTTAATTTGTCTTGGAGTCGATACTAATTCGAGAATCACAGGGTGGCGGAGCATGTGCTTTCGTGTGTGCCATGACTGGCTGGTACCTCTTGACGGCTCAGATGCTGGACGTTGTTGACTTCCCCTTCGGTCTCCCTGTTGGCGACCTCTCCGGCATCGTCAAGGGTCGCTCCGAGCGTGCTGCCGCCAAGAACTAAGCATCATGGCCTCTTACTACCGAACTAACAAATCGTCTACTTGAGACTGTCTACATTATATAATCAATTTGGAGGATTTGGTCGATTGGAATAAAATGGTTGGCGCAGGGGAAGTACAATGTGGTCAAGGAATACCCATTTGAGGACCAACAGATATGTTTTAGTGTACTATAGCGGCCGGGGGTGAAGGGCTTGTAGATTCTAGATGATGTTTACATACACAATTTCAACAAAAAGTTGACTTTGAGATGCTAATCGTCATCGGATGTTGGCTGTGCTTCCAATAAGTGATCACCTGCAAACTCGCGGTAGTGTCATATCAGGTTCCCAGGCCCATGGATAGGGGATGGACACGTATCGAATCGAGACAACATTGTCCCGTGAGACAATTCAAATGAGAAAATTTCTCCCAATCTATGCTCGATGTGCTGTGATGGCTTCTTCGCCTTAGGTCTAGACTAGTGGGTTTGACGATTTCAGGAGAGGAGGTTTGTCTCCATCTCGAGCCACACTGGCAGTTGTTTTGCCTCTGGTAATCACTTGTCACTCCTTCTGAGGATGTTCATCACGTCTCGTGTATCCATCATGTTATTAAACCGCCTTTGTCGTAGAAGGTGCTGCTTGACGCGTCTTTGATGGGTCTGCTAGACACTCAGGGGCCGCAACTGCAACACTCTAGGTCAGCACTCCTTTCCACAGAAGGAACTTGCTCGTAAATCCTTTGGGGCAGTATGCTGATATCCACTGCTTGGAGCATTTCCCTCTTTGGCTAGGAGTAAACTAATCGCGAGCTGTTGGGTGAGCCCAGTTTGCCAACTGGCCAGTAAGCCTCCCCGTCCTTCCTTGGGGGAACTAGTTCGCCGCTGCGTCACCATGTTTTCTCAGCTCCAGGGAGCTTTTCCCAAGTGGAAGAATGAAATTACTAGTGACATCTCGTGGTTTCCAGCAGGCTATTGATCTTTTGTATTAGAAATCAAAAGTTCTCCGAACTAAATGCGTTGAATCTTCCATCCAGGAGATACACAAAGATGCCTCACTGTGATGTTGAACACTAAACCCCTCAACATCCTCCCGTAGAACTCCCCCCTTCACACGCCGGTCCCGTACAGTTGAATCCAATCGGGTTTACGACATTCCCGCACAGGTACGCCCCCGCGTCGCTACCATTACTAAACTTGACATCGACGTCCAACAGCGCGAGGTTAGTGCAGGGGGCGACGGCGCTGCACTGAAAACTAGCTACGCGACCTGTCTTGTCCGACGTGGTGCCTCTCAGCCCGTCGATGACCAGGTCGCGGATCTGGAACTCGGAGTTGGTGCAATTTCCACTCCCAGGGGCGCCGGAGAAGCGGGTGCACTGGGAGATGGTGACTGCGCCGCCGCGCAGGCCCTCTACCTGGAGGTTGCTCGCGGCCATGTTGGCGGCGTCTATTAAAGGGGTTAATTTATTAGCCTTTACTTTTTATCAGCTATTTTGGGGTGGTTTTGTTGAGGGACATACATCCGCGTCCGCCACCTCCGCCGTTGGGAGGGTAGCCATTTCGATCTGCTGTCCACGTCTTGAAGTAATACTGTACTTTTGTTATTATGTTTTCATTCAAGTAAGAAGCATTCGTTGAATGGGACTTACTGCGTGGAGAGTGTTTTTGAAGTAAATGTTGTCCACGTGCACGTTCTCGATGACCTCAAACGCCCCGTAGTACTGCCCAATGCTGCCAATGGCGATGCCCAAGCCGTTGTAGAACTTGGAATTGGAGATTGTGATATTTTTGCTGTCTGCCTTCAGTGAGATGCTGTCGTCGCCGTTGTACACTGTCCAGTTGTCAAACTTGATTCCGGACGATCTGATCGTGTCGGCGCCGTCCGTGTTCGCTACAGTTTGTTAGATGATCGAGTCCAGGCCAAAGAAATCCCAAGGCTGTAGGGTATTCTCACAGCTACTATATACGTTTCCGGTGTTGTTCACGAAGATATCCGTCAAATCAACATTATGAGAGTTGATGATGGACATTGTCCTGCCCATGGATAATCAGTAAGCCAGTTCGACCATCTCCCCGGATCTCGCCACATACCACATCTGGCTCCTCAGAAACCTAAGCCCTTTAACAACCGAATTTGTCAATCCGTTGAACGTGATTGCATGTGGGCGTCCAGGGTAGTTTGACGTATTGGGCTGCTGCCGGATGAATTGGTACCAAACGTCGCCATTGCCGTTGAAAGTGCCGGTGCCAAACCCGTTGATACGTATATTGTTTCCGCCTAGAACCCAAGCGGTTGACTGGTTCTGGTAGCCCACAGGTAGGGAGTTGTTCAGCCAGTAGTCGATATCTATTCCCCACTGAAGTCATCGCCAGTCAATTCATGCACATTTTCAAAGTTGAGAGTCGTCAGTTCAAATGTAACATACCAAAAGTTCACCGCGGATGTCTATGCTGACGTCCTCGAGCCCCGTGGTATTTAGAACAGTATTGATGTGATATTCAGAGTCCTCGAAGACAATCTTTCCATGCTTGCCGCATTTCTTAAACGCGTCGCGGACGGCTGGGGCATCATCCTCGTCGACGCTGCCAAGAGACTTGACAATACACCTTTTTCTGTGACTTGGGTCATTTGAACGTGTCAAAGCATTACTTTGTGTATCGTCTGCTGAGGCAAGAGCCAAAATCGGAAATAAAGACAGCACGAGATGTGTTAGAATCATTTTCCCTTTCATCAATGAAGCACGAATATGACTGGGCTCTCGAACGGGGCAGAGTTCTAAAGTTGGCTACATGTTGCAAATTGTTTTTCATAGACTCTATATTTATTATTTCAAATACCACCGTGTGTCGGTAAAGCTGCTCGCGAAACGAGTTGCAGCTACAATGCCGTGGTTCAACGATGCTACCAAATTGATGAGCTCCAGCACCATCGGGTTAATTAAGAGCCGAATAGTTTCCCAGTATAAATGAACCAAGACTCGGCTCCGGTTAAAATACAGATCGTCAATGTAGTGGTGGACAATTCAGGTCACATCCATAGCCGGCTTTCGAGCGGGGTACATGGATCTGCTCGGAAAAATCGCATCGAAACTGAAAATGACGATCTGGTTAGTACGTTAGGCAATCCAAGTTTGAAGTACCACAAGACAAGAGTGTCTAGAAGTATAATCGCTTTGCTCAGCTTTGTGTTGCGTAGCAAGTATATCTGCACGCCCCTGGAAATGGGGCTGAATACGGTAAATACGAAATAGCCCAGATCCAAGTCAGGTGATGGGCCATGATGCCACTTTTTGCGACTACAGGTTTTCCCAACGATTTCTCTCTGATATGGGTGTATCAAGATACATATAATCTGATATCCAGTCAACAAGAATCATCACATCATGTCTCAATCATACCCAACACGGACCCTTGCCAGACTGATCGGACCGTCCCTCGTAGTGATGGCACTAGCCGAGGGAATACACGTTGATATCTGGTCAGACAATACACCTCCGGTCGTCTTTTTCAACGGAAACGTCCTGTTCGTTGCGGGCTTGGCCATCGTTCAGGCACACAACTACTGGGCTCTCCGGCCCCCAGTCCTGGTCACCCTGATTGGATGGAGCTCGTTAAGCCTTGGCCTTTCACGCATGTTCTTCCCACATCAGAAGCCCTACATTCATGCGAACAGCCCATGGCAGACCGTGTTCCGAATTGGGGCCCTATGTTTGGTTGGCTCGTCTGTCGCTGCCATCGGGTACATGCAGTAGAGGGCACTCAAACTGCTATCGGGAGCGGCTGGGTAAATTGCCCGAGCCTACTCCTTTCGGGAGAAGGAGTTCAGAAAGCCAGCGAGGCCTCAAAGCAGACTCTGGCCCTCCACCCCCCTCCCCATCAAGTGCGCGATGACAAGGTAGCTTCCCTTAGATCTTTAATTGAGGCGGCGGGCGGTGCGGTTTAGAGTCTGAGACATCCCTGTTCCATGATGAGCTTCTTCACATTCCGAAAGTTCCCAGGATTCATTCCCTGATACAAGCAGTATTCGTGCCCTGTGAGCCATTGCCATTCTCACTCCCCATCTCTCCTCCTATTTCCAGATATATCAAGAAAATATAGACGAGAGTGAGCCGCCATCGACGTGATCTTGAAGCATCGGATATTCTGTTTCCAATCACATGGGGTCAGTCGCCCTTTTTTAAAGGTGAGACAGTTTGTGGGCATCTTTTGGTCTCAAGTAATCGAATCCTGCATGGAGAGCCAGTTAGGTCATGGATTCTTAAAATCACTTGGGTACCGCGAGCTTCATCGCCAAGTTGAAGAATGAGGGGTCAAGGACTTGGGCCGCTCGTAGCCGCGTATCATGAATCTCATTTAGATGCCCTCATGCATATGTATACACGCCCTTCTCATACCTTGGCAAGACATTAGGGAAGGGATGAGAGCTCTGATTTCATTAAATCGCGTGGCTATTAACGCCGGTCGCATAGAAAGTCAATGACAGTGATAGGAACAAAAAAGGGATGTGGAATGGGTTTGATGCAATTCCTTCTAAGGCATGATCAGCATCTTTGTCTCAGTAGAACTGCTCTTACCAGAAATATATATGTGCAACTGAACCAGGATATATAGCACGGGACCATGGTGGGAAAGCCTCAAGTTTCCCATCTACAGCATAACCCCTACCGCAATACGTCTTTCCCAAGAAGCAGGTTCAATTTCCACCCTCGAGAGAGGTAGGTATCTCGAACCATGTCAAGAAGCAGCAGCGAGGAGACTCAAGGTCCCGGCCTTGATGAACTGGTTTCGTCCGGTTATGGAGTAGATGCCGCCACCAAATTGACCCCCGAGGAGAGTGTCATTGCAATGCACGTTCGGAAAAAGGTCGATTATCGTATCTTGCCCATAACCCTCGTTGTATACATGTTGGATTTTCTCGATCGTAACAACTATTCGACAGCAAGGTTGCAAGGCCTTGAAGCTGACCTAGGCCTAACAGAATCCGAATATCAGGCAGGTGGGCCACTATCTCACCTTGCACTTAGGGAGCTCTGCTATTGACCAAGTCTATAGGGCTTTCGTTATTTTTTGTAGGATATCTGCTAGGCCAAGTCCCCGCAAACCTTCTTCTCAATCGATTCGCTCGCCCTTCCTATCATCTTGCATTTTGCACATGCATTTGGGGTATTGTCTCGACGTGTACGGGCTTGTCTCAGGGGTTTCGAACTCTAGCTTTGTGTCGATTCCTTCTAGGTTTTGCTGGTAAGTGTTAGCTTCCTGGTACGCCACGTCTTGGAGGTATTTCCACTTACAACTGAACATGGATAGAGGCACCATTCTTCCCTGGGGTCATTTTTTGTCTCTCCAAGTGGTACACGAAACAAGAATTGGCTTTTAGAGTAGCCATATTTTCGTCAGGAAATCTTATTTCTGGTGCCTTCGCCTCGCTTATCGCCGCTGGAATTCTAGAGGGGATTGGCCATGCTCGAGGGCTCGCTCCTTGGCAGTGGCTCTACCTTGTGACAGGGCCAGTGACAATACTCGTAGGGCTCTTCGTATGGATTCTCTTGCCTGACTTCCCCGAGAACTGGAAAGGGTTATCTCCCGAGGAACGCAGGGTGGCTATCCTCCGAGTGGCTATCGATGGATCCCAGGCAGACATCGACGAACCCGGCATGACACAGTTGAAGGGCCTCCGAATGGCTCTCACTGACGTGAATACATATGTTCTCGGCCTTGCGTACATGTGTATAATTGGAAGTGTCGGTTTCGGGCTCTTTCTTCCATCGCTCACGGCATCACTAGGATACAGCCACACAGTCTCGCTGCTCCTATGCACCCCTCCATACATCTTTATGACGATATGGCTCATTGTTCATTCTTGGCTGTCGGATAAATGGAACAGTCGATTTTGGTTCTACATGTACCCGCTCCCGATATCGATAGTCGGCTTCGTCGTCTTCATGACGGCGGATCAGGCCATGTTTACTGCTCGGTATGTCAGCTTATTTCTCATGCCCTTCACCTCAGCCAGTGCAGTCAGCGCCTTTTCGTGGGTCTCTTCATCAATCTCTCGGCCTCCAGCAAAGCGAGCAGCTGCCTTTGCCATCATCAACTGTTTCGCCACCAGTGCCAGCATCTGGGTTCCATTTGTGTACATCGCCCCACGGTACACAATGGCGATGATCATCAACATAGTTCTCTGCGTTTGCGCCGGGATACTTGGCATTGTCCAATTGTATGTGCTCGTGTGGCGTAACAGAAAGCTTGCTCAGATCGAGGAGGCCAGCATCCCAGCTAGCCCGGGACGAGATGATGTTCGAATAGAGGGATCTGCGACCAAGGATGTAGAAAAATTATCGAAAAAGGGTCTCAATCGAGGGTTTCGCTATATGCTCTGAAGTCGTTGTCGGGGCGTTTATCTCGAGGGTGGACGCGTCAGGTAGAGCTCAGGCTTTCGGGTTGGTCGTCGACGTCGGTAGTACGAGGACATTATGTCAGCTAAATAAATGTGCATCAGATAACTCACCCGTGATATGGTTTCCCTTGATAAATTGAGATGGATCTTTCGCGTTGAGGTGATTTTCCCGTGTTGTGGGAGGGATTTGGTGCATGGAGCGTTGGACGCTGTTGAGGTTAGCAGCAGATAGAATCCGAAACTTCTCCCATTCATTCCCGCCCTCACCCATCGCCCACCCATTCTATTCCAGATTTGCCAATATTCGACTTCTTTTCTGGTTTTTCTCAGCACAATATCATAATGAAGTTTTATTCGATGCCTCGTTACCGGATGGGATTTGGTTCCCGACCCAAGACCTGGGTTAACACTTCAATCGTTGCGTTCAAAAGCTGCAGGGAAAGCAATTCTTCGAATCTGATTTCGATGGTGAGAGAATATGAGGAAACCTATCACAAACTACGAAGTAGGCGTCTGGAATCCTCGTCACGGCACACCTCAACCGAATAACAGCTTCCTACTACCGGTAGTATTCACAGTTCGCGGCGGCATCATCAGTTTTATTATCTATCGTGCCACCTAAGCGTTGGTAAGGACACGTTATCTATCATCAGGCCTAAGCCAGCTCCGAGAATGGTGCATGCACCAAAGGGTCGATGAGCGAGAATGAAGTGGGTGGGGAGGGTTGGAGCATGGAAGGTGCAATGAGGATCCAGACAGAAAGAATCTCTAAACAGAGTATGGTTTGACATCAATTTTTAAGCAAACAGATCCTCTTAGTAACCGTACTCCGTGTTTTTGATCCCCAACCTGCAGACGAGACGTCGACGCGATCTATCTGCTCCCTTAATAAAGTGTGAAGCTAACTATCCTGGGAGCTCAATACCCTGAACTCAATAAATCAAATACTGAATGTGACATGTAACTATACTGCATGTCTGAAAATATTCCAACTATCTTGACTCGCCCACTCGTGTTTATCCTTCCAAATGTACATGAGAGAAGGCTGATATCACATTGACACAAGCAGACCAAGATTACTTCTTTTTGATTTTCCATCTTCCGGTCTGGCTTCCTCTTTTTATCCTTCTTTTCCTTAATCAACTCACGATACTTAAGACTGAGGCACTACCACGTACCAACTCTCCAATCCTAGCCAGGAGGACTTCGGATATCACCCTACACAAGGAAACTAAGATTATTTCTTCTTGTTCATTGACCACCAAGGCCTCCTCTTCTTTTCGTTGCTCAATATTTACGATACTTGAGATCACTACCGTCGATCATCTTTCCCTACCAATACATTCAAGACGCAGCGAACCATCCAGACAAGCCGACCATGCATAAATCCCATCATCTGGTCGTCTATAGACAGTTTCCATTCCCAGACGATCCCAATTTGTTTAACCTCCTGGCGCTTCCTTTTCCAACCCGCCAAAAAATCTGGGAGAAAATAGACTTACTGACAAGAGTTGTGAACGTCCTGCCCCATGCCATTACAGCAAGCCGCAAAAGCACCACCGGGCCTCCTGAGGTCCTACCCATCTGCCAGGAGGCTCGAGACTACGCCTTGAAGCGCCTCGTCAACATCTTCCCAGGCAGCGTCCACCCGGTGTACGTCAACCCGAATCCCTCCCCAATGAGCGTCCCCTCTTTGAAAAACTGGAGGACTTGTAAAATGTAGATGTACTATACATCAGGAGCAAAGAAGTAGTGAATATATATCTATTTAGCCCTATATCTCAACTTCCATTTTCCAAAACCATCCTTGCCCCAATCATCTCGACGAAATGGACCTTATTCCAGTACTTCTATAGGGGTCTACAACTTCACCGGCTATTGAGTTAGTGGACACTAACCCTACTGCTATATCTACTTCATCATATGGGCCGGCTACTATCAAATTCACTACCGCCCAGGCGCTACTTCAAGCAATCTGCCAGTCTTCGAGCGATGTTATCTGTGTTGAAGGTGAGATATAAGTTCGAGGTCCTGCTTGTTGACCGACGTGTGGTATAGTTGTAGTTACCTTACTTGTTGTATTAATTCAATGTTGTGGTGGTCCATTTCCATTAGGAGGGAGAGAAAGCGTGACAATAATAACTAGTACACGATACTAGCCTGCCCCCAGCACAATCTAGAGCCCTCCCCTCGTCGTAGACGCCCGTCTGGTTTCTCAGAAACCCCTAAGTAAGCGGCCTGTTGATGTTTCTATGATCTCAAACCATCCTCCATCCATGTCCAAGAGGCAACGCACGTACCAATTGGTAGCAATTAGCTAGACAGCTACCACAGATAATCAAGCAGCAGATTTCCCCCCGCACATGCTGGCTCGAGGTGTCATTGGTGGATTTTGGCTGAAAAAGAAAGGAAGGTTGATGAATGCAAGCAGGAGCAGGCTTGTGCCTACTGGAATAGGTAGATAAAGATAGCTAGTCCCGAGAGAAAGAGTTTTTCCTTCCCTCATCATTATCACGACCATCAAAAGTTATCAATTCAATTGTGCGTTTCTTGCGTTTTCCCTCTCGGTGTTATTGTGTGAATTTCCCGCCGATTCTCTATGTAATCTGCCTTCCCTCGCTTTCTCCTGACCAACTGTGTCATGGGTGCGTTGGAGGGCCAGGATGAGCAGTGTATGAAGGCGATTGCCAAGCTCTTTGAAAAGAGCCGCTGCGAGTTTCTCAACTTCACACATCTTCATGATTCTGTCCATGATACCACACAGACAGTTTCCCTCCTCCAAATCGCCCCAGAGCCTCAACATTCGAGATCGCCATTCCACCTTCACCATGTCTTCGCGCCGCGATATGCACATCCGAGCCATCAGCATTCAAATCTTTGGTTGCTTTTCTTATCGTTATTTTGGTTAGCTGGTGGTGTCGGTAATACAACCAAGTACCTCCGTCGGAATACCCACGCACGAAGGTCAAAATACGTCCTCTGAAGTTTGTGAAAGCCCAAATTGACCCTCGACTGAGGGACTCCTGGACTAAAGGTCCTGAGACTATCGCTGCTACGGCTGGAAGTGCACACCGCACGTGAATAATGAATTAGGTAAGTTTGTCAATAGCCGTACACTAAGTGTTTGATTTCTGAGTGGTAGCTTCAACTAATGAATTCACAAAGGAAGAATTGACGAGCGTACTATCTTCCACGGTTACTCAGCTGAAGTCTCCTCTCACTCCTACAAAGAAAAGAAAGTATATGAAGAGCGACAATAAGTTTGCCGACTCAGTGAAGTCAGTGAAGGAGAGATTGGATAACTTCCTCCTTGAGTCTCAGCGAGTCATGCTGATTGATCTCAACAAGAGTCGGCTCCGTCTTCTTCAAGAGCTACTGAATTTCACATTTCCGTCAATGCTCGTAGTCCCCATATCAAAGTCCTATTGACAAGGTCAACATACAAAATACTAGAGAATATAAATGCCAATAACAAGATTATTATGTGTATTACAACCACAAATTAAACCACTTATGATGCACCTGGAGAAAGAGTACGATAGCATGTCTAGGGTGGCCTCTTGGAGAGGACGGAGCCAAGTCGGGTCAAGACAACCGGCTTTTCATGATATATGAAGATTAGTCTCATTGATTTCATTAAGTAGACCAGAGTCCAAGTAATCTCCATCAAAGGAGAAACAATCCCATATCAGAGAACTCTGTTCAGCGGCTCGTCCATCCCTTCCCGCTTCCTCTCACCCTTCGTAATTTTCCTCCTTCTGTCTCTTGGAGGCGTCTTTTCGGGGCTTATCTGTTGTACGATGCTTTGTTCGTTGAGATGGTTCAGTCGTTGCAACCTCGGCCTGCGGGGGCTTGGCTGTTGGTTTGCTCGCGATACCCTCTCCGACAGGCACCAGGAGTATCATGCCTCGAGGGAGGTACGATCCCATGGCAGACCCGTCAACTACGAAAATAACCCTTTTCTTTCAGTTGGATCACCAGGTACTCTAAGCTAGAAAGATAGACAACGCCACGACCTTTCCATCAACTGGCAGGCAAGTCTCACGGAGGTGGAGCGGTGGTCACCAACTTCCACAACACAACCACCAAAAAGGAAACGAAGTCGCCAATTTCCTTCTACAAAACGGACATCCTCATCTCCCTTGTTAGGAGTTCACTGTCTGGGTAGCTCGTCGCCAGGGCTTGTGTGACAGGGGCGCGTTGCAGACCCTGCTTTAAGCAGTAAGCCTGGCGAAGCTTGCCGTCCAGTCTTATCTTGCGCTGTCGGCACCAGACGCAAGATATCGATACTCGCCGGCAATTACGAGCAGCAAACTCATGATCCCTCGAAAGTCTTCTCGATTCCTTCGCTGTGCAATCACGTCATTGACTCACAATTTCATCTCCCACGCCCCCATCACCAATCCCCACAGGCACGCCCCAATCAATGGCCCATCTGAAAGAAACAGGTCTCAGCCTTCTCTTTCATCACCACACACCGTCATCACCTTCTTTTTCCAAGACACGGATCAGCCACACCCCCCCGGGCGGCGAACCCAGACAAGCTCATCTGTTCGCCAGAAAAAAAACGCCGGTAGGCATCTCACTAATCCAGCAGTTCATCGGTCCCTCATCCCCACACAAGTGAACCCCCAAATCGGCCCGCGTCCTGTCTCGCATCGGCCATATTGGAATTCACCAGGGCCCCCAACCAGACACAGAGGCACAGAGGGGCGCTGATTTTGATCGCCGACTTGAGACACGCCAATAACTCTATTCAGAGCGAATTGCCCCAGTCGGCTTTGTGTAATTGGTCACGATCCTCTAAAGGTAGGATAGCTTAAGCTAGCTACTCTGCTGCCATCCTGGTAGAAACGATATTCCATCCATGGGAAATCAGTCTACCAAGAGAACGCAGGTTCCGCTTGAACATGATGTAAACTGCCGTAGCAGGCAGCAGGCTAGAAAGAGCCGAGAGACTCGGGGTCACGGACATGCCGATCT